TGCCGACGCAAGATGATGCCCCAGAGAATGGTCTGTTCCTCTGGCCCTGCCACTATTTTTTCGGCTTCGAAACCTCGTCGGTTGCTGAAGGCCTTAACGTCGGTGTCTTTTCTGGCGCGGCGTGGTGCAAAGCTACGATCGGCGGCGGAGCGCGCAACGGTGACTGCAATTAATTATATGTAGTGCAGGCCGTCGAGTTGTTTGCTGCTATCGGAGCTGCAACGCAAATATCCGAGCGGGTCGCGGCGTTCAAGTACTTTATCCTCGTCGGAGCGTTGAGAAGCTTCAAAGAACAACGCGCGATCTGCATTTCTCTTATTCATTATAGAGGCGGTGAAATGGTTTTATCTTCGACGGAATGCAAACTCGTCTTTCGTTCGCGGCATTCTTTGACGTGCTGGGTCGGGTCGGCGCAGTAAGGATGCGGCGTAAACCTCGGCAGGGCGTTTAAAAGTCGAAATGGGCAGCAGCGTGTGGCGTTAACGTCCGTGTCCTCGTCGGGGCGCTGCAAGCGAAACTCCGGATCGGCCACTATACCCTCTTCTAACGGCGCTGAGATGGTTTCATCTTCCCGGCAACACGCATAGCGTCATGATTGTTGTAGCTTGGCGTTACCCTCCGTGGCAGGGATGCTCCGTTCGCGGCGCGCTACTTAACGTCGGGGTCCTCCGTGGCGCGGTGCGACACGAGTTAACGAAGGCTGGGATTTGCGGCAATCCTTTGAACGGCGCTGAGATGGTTTGATCTTCTGGGCAGCGCTAAATGACATCAAACGAGTAGCTATTCGTGGTGTTGACGTCCTGCTCCTGTTCGGCGCGGTGTTCGTGAATGTTACGCTGTCCGCATCCCTGTTGCCAAGCTTTCCACAAAGTCGTCTATGGTTCCGCATCTAAGCAACGCATATTACCTCTATATAGACGTGCTTGTCATCCCTCGTCGGCGTCGGACAACGCGCTCTAATTTGCTGTGTTCTCAGTACCTGAAGGACGACATGACCCTTAAAAGTAGGGGCCCTATACCCATATACTATGAATTCCTATATGGTATATGAACCTTAAACCCTTTTAGGGTTCATTTCGTCCTTAAGGTATGGGCAAAGAAATCCAAACAGCTCAGCGCCATGGAGAGCTTCTTGAGGAACGGAAAAGACGTGATTTTGGCCATACTTTGCGGCATCATCTTCAGTCCCCGCTGCAATCAAAACAGCTCAGCAGGCTCTATGACCCGCTGTTACAAAGCCAGGCACAAAGGTTCAGCTTCACGTGCAAACAAGAAACAAATCACCTCAGCCCGCTATGTGATGTTGCCTTGCAGAAGAAATCCAAACAGCTCAGCGGCTTGGGGAGCCTTCTCAGCGCTCGGGAAGACATGACATACGCCTATCTACTGGCCTATGCTGCATCCCAGTCAAACAAACCTCAAGAATTTTTCTATGAAGTTTGGACAACAAGTTGGTCCAATAAAGATCACAACTTTTACTATGAAGTTCTATTAGCGTTATGGTTTGAAATCTATAAGTCTTTAGCCTCTTGTGTTGCCAGGAAGATCAAAACAGCTCAGCGCCTTTGGACAGTTTTGCGCACACGCTGACTGTGGTACAGATTTCCATCCCGCCCTGCCCCCCCCCCCCCTTGTCTTCTGTACCCTGGCTTGTCAAAAACACTGCATGCTGAAGCAGAGACATGACATGATTCCCATAGTCTCCATTGTACTTCCTTTTTATGGTTCAACCAAACTTATATTATAGGATCCCACGCACAAATTAGAATAACCAGCAAAAGAAACTACAATGGAGACTATGGGTTGCGCTCAAACATGCCACAAGCCGAAGGGAAAGCGACCTCTCTGATGGAGCTCTGCACGGCAATGCGACGCACCTGTTCTGGACCGGCAGCAGTCACTGTCTTTCATGGCGAACTGTGCCCTGCCTCCGACGGAAAACGAGGCTCTGCACGGAACATCTTCACGGATCTGCATGCTACCTGCCCGAAGAACCAACAGTCGCAGCAGTACGAGAACACGCACTGCAGAGAACCAACCTGTTCACCGGATCTCTTCGAAGAGCCGCGGGGAACCTGTGCGCGAGAAGCAGGAGTGAAACAGGCATCCCAAAGAAAAGACGGCTGGCAGGGAAGCTGCGACCTGGACTTAGAGAAAGGCTGCATTTTCTGCTTCTGGCTCTCAAGCATCTGCTTGTGCAAGAATTGAGGCCGTGCTTGCGCGATGCATCCAAACAGCTCTTTACTGTGGAGGGACAACTTCACGCTCCGGATGCTGCAGCGAAAAACGTTTCAGAACGACTGCTTCACAGTGTGCTGACGGATCCTAGAAAGACATGATCAGCTCCGCGGGCGCTTGCCGGTCGTCTTCTTGTCGTCGCGATGGCCCTTGCTCTTCTTCGGGGTGTGGTCCTTCTTCGGGGTGCCCTCCTTCTTGGGGGTGTTGCGCTCCTTGCGGTTGTTGTCCTTGTTCGGGGTGCTCTTCTTCTTCGGTGTGCTGGTCTTCTTGGGCTGGGGCTTCAGGGAGTTGTCCTTGTTGCGCGGCGTCTTGGGAGTCTTCTTCGGCACGGGAGGCTCCACCACAGGGTCTATTTCAACCGGCTCCTCTTCCTCGCCCTGCTCCTCGAGCAGGTCTCCGCCAGAAAGGGGAACAGATTCCTTGCTCTCAGCAGGCTGGGCTGCCGCCCCGAACATCTCGCGAATGCTCGACACTTTCTGTGCGAACTCTGCGCGATACGCCCAGGTCCCCACGTCGACCAACCCTTTCGTCACGGTGGCATCCGCAGCGGCGATTGCAACACTCAGGTCCTTCTCCGACGCGTAAAAGCCTGTGTAGCGGACCCGATCCTGGATGCATTGCTGGAGCCAAGTCGTGTGGCCGAATATGTCCAGCACGCAGCCCACACAGAGAGATCGCAGCAGCTCCTGTTGCAGACACTGAGACACTATTCCGCGCCAGCTGAGATGCTGAGTTCTTTCGGAACAGATCTATGGAGAAAAGACTCTATCGCCCTATACTCTGCGTTCCTAGACCAGCACTGAGATGGTATGATCTTTCCTGCAAGTTTTCTTTCGGAACAGACCCTGGGATGCAATACTCTACTGCCCTATCCTGTCCCCTAGTGTTGCATAATCCAAAATTGTTCTCTTGCTCTTCACTCCTATACTAGCACTGCAATGGTTTCATCTTTCCCGCAAGTTCCTCTCGGAAGAGACCCTGAAATGCAATACTTTACTGTCCCATCCTGTCGTGTATTGATACAAGCGCTAGAACAATTTTGCTCCTGTTCAACCCGATACTAGCACTCATATGGTTTCATCTGTTCCGCACATTCCTGTCGGAAGAGACCCTGGAATGCAATACTCTACAGTCCTATCCTGTCACGTAGTGCTACACTCTGTAAAACAACTCTGTTACCCTTCTATCCTATGCTAGCACTGACATGGTTTCATCTTTTCCGCAAGTTCCTCTCGAAAGAGACCCTGGAAACCAATACTCTACTGTCCTAGCCTGTTATGTATTGAGACATACTCTAACAAATGCTGCTTCTCTACAATCCTATATTGCACCTTGGGAACACTCACAGCGGTGCCTTGACGAGAGGCAGTGACGGCGTGTGAACATCCCCCTGCAGGTCCAGCGGGACGTCCCAGATGAGGTTCCCCTTGTTGGTCCCGCTGAAGTCCGGGCTGCGGGCGATCGTCGGGAGCTTCACACTCTCACGGGCAATGATGTACAGAGTCTCCAACTGATTCACGCAAGTGCCTGCCTTCATTCGCTCGTAGTACTCCGAGCAATCTTGCTCGCGGTAGCCGAGGGTGAGCTGTCGGATGTTGTTTTTGCCAACGTGCTTCCCAATCATAGACCCGATCTGATGCTGCGCGTCGAAAACCAGCAGCACCACCTGAGCACGATACACCCACTGGGATCAGGATTTTCTGTTCTGGTCAGCTACATGCGTACGTCGTTTGACCTGTGAAGTCTGAAAGCGCTGAGATGGTTTGATCTTTCTTGCCAGATCCCGTCGTCAGCTTTGGGCAATATTCTGGACTTTTATCAGTCATGTCATATTTGGTTGCCCACATTAACTTGGGCGATTTGTTTGTTTGTCAAACAAACCTCAAGAATTTTTCTATGAAGTTTGGACAACAAGTTGGTCCAATAAAGATCACAACTTTTACTATGAAGTTTTGTTAGCGTTATGGTTTGAAATCTATAAGTCTTTAGACTTGTAAACTAGGCCACAGTAAAAACAACAGGATAATATGGGCTTCAGAATGTAAGAACGCGTGAAATGATGCATATATACTCTACTCGCAATTTTACGTTAAAACGCTCAGAGCCTGAGATGTGTTTGGCAAGTGACTCCTGCTTTGAGCAAGCCGTCTGCCGGGTCTTTGTAGACATCGAAGCCCCGACTGAGCTCCACAGCTGTGAGCGCTGCTCCCTCTCTGGCATTCGGATTGATCACCACGAGCAGATGCTCAGGCGGCGGCGTCTTGGCGGTCTGTCTCCCCGACATGACGGAAGGCTTGAACTTGCCGCAGACAGACTTCTCGATCATGGAGCCGTACACGGCCCAGCTGCCAGTCGGAGCCACCATGACATGCGCCTGGGTCGACCACATAGTCCGCACGTGGCCCTTCCATTCCTGAGGGTCTTGCAGCGGTCCGACATTGGAAGCCAGAGCAAAGAGGAATAACCAACAACATGAGCTCAAAAAACTGCTATACTGGACAGCTTAGTTTCTGCAGCAAGTTCTGCAAGCTTGCTGTCCAAGGTGGCTTCCGTTTCCACCGTGAGGCTTTCTGGCACCAGAGCGGTCGCCGGCGTTTCCGGTCCCTGAGCTAAGGCTGTGCTTGTGAGGGCCTCGCTGGCTTCAGGAACTTTCCGTTGCTCGAAAGACATGCGGATGGAGTCGAGGCGCTTTCCTCAATCGCATGACTGGGCGCTGGCTTGGGGCCTTGGGGGGTCAGGGTTCAAGGCCTAAAACAAACTTCCACCCGTATTTTGCAATCTTATTATATACCATTTACCCCAGCGTCTGACGGCTGCTTGCTGAGCCAGCTCTTGCACAGAGCCACCCGGGAAAGTGTCCAAGAACGAACGAATGCAGGCATCAAAGGAGCCGAGGTGGACGTCGCGCAACAACTCCAGGATGAGCAACGCAGGGCCGTCTACCACTGAAAACTTGCCGGCCTGGTAATCGTCGCACACAGACCCATTCAGAGCACCCACCTCGGCCGGAAAAGCCTTGATGCAAGTGGACGTGTACAAGAGATGCTTGCGGAATTCCTCCTTCGTGTCGTCCTCGAGCTCGAACGTATCGAAGACGTAGTCCCGCAAAGCTTTGCGAATCAGCAGCGTCTCCACCAGCGACGTTCGCTTGTTCTTCACCCCCGCCAAAGCGTCCTTCGAAGGCGCCTTCAGAAGCGAGGCTGCCTGCAAAGACCACAGAGCATCCACCACGAACCGGCGTGACCCTTGGACATCATGCGGCTGCAGGTTGCACTTGCTTGCGACAGCTATGATCTTCGTGATCCCATCGAAAGCATGGGCGCTCTCGAAACTCTCACACTCCAGGAGTACCTTGTA